TTTTAATTTTTTTTTTTTTTTTATATTTTTTTTTTTTTTTTTTTTTTTTTTTTTTGTTTTAGAAAATTCTTTATAATATATGATAAAAGGAACAAAAGTGATTTGATTGAAAAAATAAAGAATTCTCTTAAAGAAGAAAGCAATGAAGTTAATATAATAAATATAGAAAAAGAAAATGATACAAAAGATAATATAGTTGATGAAGATATACATTATCTTAATGAAGAAGGAAACAGAAATAAGTTTAATAAACATAAAAAATATAATAATTTTAAAAATCATTATTCTTTTTTATCTACTGATTTATTTAATGATATTAATTTAAAAGAATTAGAAAAAAATGTGTATAATTTTGATATATTTCATTTATACAATATAAATATTAAGACTATATTAGAGGAAAAAGAAGAAAATACACTAGATGAAAAGTGTTTTTATGAAACTTTTCAATATTTTCTAAATTTATTATGTTTATTATATTTTTTTAAAAATATATATTTTGATTTAATTTATAAAACAAATGAAAATTCCTATTCATTTCTTTTTAAAGGTTTTGAAGAAAGGAAAAATAAGGTAATAAACTATTTTTTTCTTTTAAAAAAATTAAGAATAAATGAGTTAATAGATAATGAAATCATAAAAATATATTGCAATTTTTTTCAATATATCTATATCAATGAGTACCTAATAAGAAACATATTTGATATTACGACAAACTCATTTATTTATACATGTGTTAAAAATTTTCAATCTAAATATAAAATAGATATTGATAATGAAAATAATAAACTACAATGTATAAAGGAAAAAAATGATTCTGAAAAAACATTTTGTGATGAATCTAGTCTTAATAATATACTCATAAAAAATATGAATAATGGTAATAATAATAGCAATAATAACAAATCAAATAATGAATCAATAGAATGTAAAAATAAAATTGATAATGAACATCAAGAAAAGAATAAAGAAATAGGAGAATATAAAAACAAGGAATATGATAGAAATTGTATGAATGATACATTAATGTTAAGGAAAATTAACCAAGAGGATTTTTTGAATAAAGAGTTAAATAATTTTTTTGTTTCTAATAATGCTAACAAAGTTAACAAAAATTCATTTATAGAAATAATATATGAAAATGAAAATTATGAAAATATATATTCTGATGAAATAATTAATTCCTTATTTTACTTTTTTAATAATCCTTATTTAATTTTTACATTTCATAAAAATGTGTTATTTTATATAGAGAAAAAAAGCAAAGATAAAACTTTTTTTCAATCTAATTCAAAAGCTCTTGCATTAATTAAATATTTAAATCATTCTGTTATAACTATTTCTAGAGTGTTTCACATTTTTATTTGTGCAGGGTTATTTTTTAATAAAAATATTATGAAATTAGAATCTAATAAATATTTAAATTTCTATAAATTATTAAATTATGGTAATTTTCCATATAATGAAAATTACGAAAATAATAACATATATGATAAAAATGAAAAGAAAAAAAATTCAATAAATGTTAATAGTTTATTTAATCATGAAATAAATGTTTCAGATTCTTATGATAATAATTCCTATGAAGAAGTTTTGAATAACCAAAATGAAAAAAATCCTAATAATTTAAAGGATACCAATTTTTATGAAATTGATATTATAAAATATTTAATGAAGTATAAAGATAATGTTAGTAACTTTAGTCAAGGAGAATTTAGTAAAGAGGATTACAGTGATAGTAATGATTATGTATCCGATGAAAGTTATGTAATAGATGAAAATAAAAATGATAAAAGGGAAAATATACAAAGGGATAAAAATGAAAGGAATGAAAGTGAAGATGAAATTCATAATAAAAATAATGATAAGAATAACGAAGAATCTAAAAAAACAAAAAAAATATTTCATAGATTATCAGATGAATATAATCTAAATCATGATGCATATCAGAAGACTTACACTAATAAAAGTATTTTTAATGATATATTAGAAAAAGCAAAAACAAAAAAAGCCTTTTATGAGTTTATAAGCAAAATAAATAAATTAAAAAATTCTTTTGATATTAATGATATAAATAAAAATAAAAGTATAGATACATGTTATATAGAAAACATAGATACCATATCTTATTTTATAAGTATATATAATTCAGATTATATTTTTCAATTTGATTATTTCTTTTTAAAGTTTGTAGCAGAAATAACATCTACTTATAACAATTATATTAAATCTTATTTAATGAATTCTAATGATATAAAATCTAAAAAGGAAGAACTTGATAAAACAATAAACAGATTAAATATTTTCTTGAATGAAATCATAAAATTAATTTATGTATATACTTGGTGTTTATTATATATATTTGGACATTCATATTCATATGTTAAATATGCAAAATATTTCTATCAAAAAAGATCTTTTTTTGTATTAGAAAATAAAGATCAATTCATTTTTAATAATTTTAATTATTTTACACAAGAAGCTAGTAATAGTAGTGATTTATATATGAAAAGTTTTTATAATCCATCTAATATTGTTGAAAATTTGAAATATAATTATGAATTAAAAGATAACAAAGAAGAATTTGAAAATTTTAATTTTAACAACTTTCTTCATATATACAAAAAATCGTATTTTCAAAATATAGTAGATAAATTACATTTAAATTTAAAGTTCATAGAAAATATATTATTTACAATGAACACAGTTTTCAAAAATAAAATAAATAAAAAAAAAAACTTCATAGATTATTTATGTATAAAGGATCAGAAATTAGAAGACATTTATAACTCAATTGAAAATTTAAAAAGCAACATAATTAAATATAAGAAAACTTTTCATTATTGCTTAAATTTTAATAACATAAAAAATGTTATAATCTTAGCATTAGAAGAAATGAATATGAGTTCTGATAAATTAGAATTAAATAAATTATTAAATGAATATTTAAATAAATTAGAAAGCAAAGGCCAATTGAAAAAAAAACAAAAAAAAATAAATGTAAAAATAATTAATAATAATATTATTCTAGATACTAACAAAAAAAAAAAAAAGGATGAAGGGGATAATATGGATGATGATATTAATAAAAATTACATGTATACTTATATGCAAATGAAGAAAATTTCAAATAATTTAATTAAAAAAAAAAAAAGAACTCTTAATAGAAATAATAGTGATTCAAGTTCCGAATGTAAAAGGAATAATAAAAAAAAAAAAACTTTTAAAAAAAATGTATCTTTTGATAATAATTTAATAGAAAAAAATCAAATTAGACTAAGAAATATAACCTTCTTTACAGATAATGATTGTTATAACAAGGAAGAAATGAATAAAAATTGTATTAAAAATATTAATAATTGCAGATCTGTTAACCATAACAATAGTGATTATAATAAGTTAGAAGTATGTTCTGATAATGATTCTTTAGAAAATGAAAATAAATATTATGATAGCAGTGATTATTATAATGATAATAAAAATAATAATGGTAATAATATATGTGATAAAATTCGTTTTCATGAGGTTGATAACAAAAGTATATTTTATAAAAACAAAAATAAAATTAATGAAGATGATAAGAGTGACCTATTTTTAAATTGTGAGTATAATACAGAAAGATTAACATTCTTTTTTAATTTATTGAATGGTAATACTTTATTCTATTATTTATCATTGCATTTTTTAGTAAAAAATGAGCAGATCATGGAAATATTACATTTTCTTCCACTAAAATATTTACTTGATTTGTTAGTTTTATATGATTTAAAGGATTATATAAAATTTAAAACAATTATTAGAGTTTTTAGAATTATATATGAATTTCAAGATTTTTCACCTATTTTAAAACAAGACACTTTTTTTAATAAAAATAATTATTCTTTAGGATATGCTGATTTTATGAATTATGAATTTTCATGTAAATTTTTAACAATTGATGAAAAAAATGAAGATAAAAACGATATAATGAAAAAAGATAATGATGATTATAATGATAAAAATACATTTTTATCTCATAACAAATCAAAGAAAAATTATCAAGACAAAGGGAAAAAATTGAATATTTACGATCAAAATATAATGAAAGAAAAAATTGTACCATTTGAAAATAAAAAAGAAGTAAAAGGAAACTTAATGAATATTCTAAAAAGTACATTTTCTGTTTTTAATTTTTCTAAAACATTAAAAAGTTATCCTCTACTATTAAAAGATTTATTAAATAAAATTTTAATGAATAAAATAGGAAAATGTATTTCTTTAGGGGATTGTGTGCCTAATAAGGAATATAATAATATAAAAAATTATTCTCTTAATTTTATTTACAATAATTTGCAAAATATATCTTTTCATTCTAACACCCAATCTTATAGTTATAAAATAAGCACAAATGAACTTTATAATATTAGTATACATAATTTTATTTTATATCATTTATATGAATTAGCTATAAGAACAAAAGAACTTATTATAAAAAGTTCATGTTTCAAATTAATTAAATATTTGTTAACTGAGTATTATTACTATCCAGATATTTTTAATGAAAAATGTCATGAATTAATTAATTCAAATATAAAATTAAATGATTTTTATATTAAAAATGTCATATTAGATTTTGTTTCATTTAATATTATGATTTGCCATCTACAAAAAGAATTAACATCAAATTTAAATGTTTTAAATAATTTAGATTTATTTAATTATTCTTTAAGATCAATAGCAAATTATTTAATCGGATATCAAAATAATTCTTTTTTCTTTCTAATAGATAAAAAAAAAATAAAAACATTATTAATAAAATTAACATATATGATTCCATTTATATATAAATTAAAAATTCCGGCTTGTGTTATAAGGCTGTATATTCGTGTAATTAAATCATTAGATAAAGAAATATTAGACATGATAAATAATTTAAACAAAATAGATCTTATTTATGATAGTTTATTTTATATTATTATAAGCCACTTTATTTATTTTTTTTTAAATTTGAATATTGAATTGGATGAAGAAGCTTCTAATTTATTATCATGCAATTTTAAAAGTAGTTTTTCTCTTAGTTTAAACAAAAAAAATAATTTTATTAAAATCATAAATGATCAAACTGAAGAAAAAGAGAATTTATCTTGTGAAAATGATAAATTACACCAAATTAAAAGAGAAGAACAAAGTAATTATTTACGTGTTGATAATGAATATAATATAGATAATGATAATAATAATAATAATGATTCTAGTAGTAGTGATAATTTGGATGATAGTAATGATAATGAAAGTAATAACTCAGAAAATTATGAAAATAATAGTTACAGAAGTAAAGATAATTCAAAGGACGACAATGAATCAAATAAAAATAAGAGTAATATAAATATTAATCCTAATAATTTCAGTAAAATATCTAATGTTTTACATTTGAGAAAAATAATAGTTGAAAAAAATTCTTTTAATCTAGAGAACAACTATTTTAAAAGAATACAGTGAAATGTGCAAAAGTTAAAAGATATATATAAAAAAAAAAATCTTCACTTTTTTTTTTAATAATATTATACATTTTTATTTATTTTAGAACATTATTGTCTTACAATTAAAAATGTTATAGATTTATTTGATGTACCTAAATATTATAGTATATATATTTCGTATTTATTTTTTTTTTTTTTTTTTTTTTTTTATGCATTATTAAAAAAAAAAAAAATTCTTTAAATTAAAAAAAAATAATTATATATATATATATATATATATTTTTTTTTTTATGTGATTAATTTATTTGTTTATTTTTTTTTTTTTTTTTATTTAATTCTTTTATTTATTTATATTTTCTTAAATGGAAAATTATTTATGTTTTCATTTGAGAAAATTTAGTATCTTTTAATATTAATACATTTCATATATTATTTATTATATTAATATATATATATATATATATTTTAATTAAATGTCAAAATTAATTATTTCATTTTAAAATAAAAATTCTGAATTCCCTTCAATATGTATTTTTGAATTTTATATTTTAAAAAAATGAATAAAATTTTTAAAATTAACTCAATACAAATATTTTATGTAAAAAAAATTTAATCAGTAAAAATAAATCAATGTGTTTAATAAAAAAAAAGAAAAATGAAAAATAATGTTTTTCTTTTATAATGATTTGTATGGATAAGAAAATTAAGAATTGTTACAAAAAAAAAAAAAAAAAAAAAAATTTATAAAAGTTTCATATATTATTAGAAACAAAAAAAGAAGAAACTAACAATTTATTTAATTTAAAAAGCTTTTTTTTTTTTTTTTTTTTTTTTTTTTTTATAATTTAATGAAGTATACAAGTATATTACTATTCTTATATGTTACTATAATATTATATTATAATGTTTTAAGTAATATATCTTTCAAAACAATTATTTTCAGTAAGGGTTTTATTAAAGAAGTAGTAAATGTATTGAAAATCTTTTAATGAATTATAATGAGAAAATAAAAATGTTCAACGAAGAGCAGAATGTAAATAATTATTATCCATCAAAGTTGGGAATAGATAGGCCTGCTGTTGATTTTAATTCTTCAAGTATTTAAATATATACATATTTAAAATTATTTTTTTTTTTGTTATTTTCATTTATAAACAATATGTTTTATTGTTTTATTTTTTTACAGTTTGTAATTTTTTAAAAAATGATATATACAAGAGGCAATTTGATAGGAGATTATACGTGAGCCATCCCATTTTCATGAGAAGAGTAAAACCATTATTTTGTTATAGTAATATGATAGATAGATTTGATGGAGTTTTATCTCATTTAGCATATACATGCTTAAATAAAAGTAAAGGAATGATAGTAAGTTTGAAATGGTTTAATGATGGAAAGAGATTATTAACAGGAACTCAGTTAAGTGAACTAGCAATATGGAATGGAGTATATTTTAATTTTGAGGATATGAAAAGAATACCAATAGGTGGAGGTTCAGTTTCTTGCTTAGAATGGTCAAAAAATGATAATTTATTTGCTGGAAATTCTTTAGGGCAAATAGTTATTTTATCATCTGCTTTAAATTTATTAGATAATTATGCATTTGAAGGATTAACAAAAAATGTATTAGATATAAGTTTATCTTGTTGTAATACTAAACTAGCAGGATGTGCTGATACTTGTAATCCTATAATTTGGGATATTAAAACAAGAAAGATTATAAAGCATTTAAAATGTAAAAATATTGATACTAATAATATTAGCTGTCTATCATGGAATCCTATAAATGATATTGTAGCTAGTGGTAATAGAACCCAAACAATTTCTTTCTGGGATATAAGAATAAATAAACCTATTATTTCTATAAATGCACATAAAGCTAATGTAAATAAAATAAAGTGGAATTATAATGGTGTTTATTTATTAAGCTGTAGTAAAGATAGTTTAATTAAATTATGGGATATTAGAAATTTTAAATTATTATATTATTATAAAAATGATAATATTTATAATAATAGATATGGGTTAAATTATGAACCTACTTATATTGTTTGGAACCCTATACAAAATCACATTTTTGCTAGTTCTGATAATAAAGGATATATAAAGTTTTATAGTACTAATGATAATAAATGCATTCAAACTATCTCATCAGCTCATGGATACGATAAGCCTTGTTCTATTACCTTATTAGACTGGAATCCTCTTGGGCATATACTTACCTCATTTGGAGAAGATAAATTGTTGAAATTCTGGTCAGCATCTAGCTGTGATTCTGTTATTGCAAAAGAAATAGATGCAAAAATGTTAATTAATATTAACAAAAATGGCTCATTTCCTAATTCTAGATATATAAATGATGAAAACATGTTAGATGTTAGCAGTAACCAATCCATTTGTGATTCAGAGGAAGGACATTACAAAAAAAATAAATTGAATAATAATTACTATAAAAAAATTTCGAAAAAAATTAATAAAAAGAAAAAAAAACATTTATTTCAAAAATAATAAGTGAAATAAAATATTCCTGGCTAAATATATTAAATTGACAAATATAAATATCACATATATAACATATATGAATTTGTTTATGAATTAAATAATACAAGAAAGCATATACTAAATAAACTATTCTTGTAAATATAAAAATTTTTTTATATCAACATATCCTTAATTTTTTTTTTGTGAAAAAAGATAAACATTTACACATATATATTAATTTTATTAAATATATATATTTTATTAGAAGATCAAATAAGAAATTGTTAATTATTTTAAAAAGCATATTAAAAATTTTTTTAAATGGTTTATTAGATATTTAAAATAATAATATTGTAAATTTATATTATAATTTTTTAGTTATTAAATATATATATATATGGTATTTTTATAAATATTATAATTTAAGAAAGGGAAAAAATTTATATATTTGTATTCAAAAAACTATATACATTGTATCTTAAAAACTATTCTGTAATTTGTTCTCTTAATTTTTTTCACATTATATATTATTATATTATCATTTTATGAATTTCAATAAATTTTATATATGTAATTCATCTTTATTTCATTTTATTTTTTTTTTCTTTTATCAATATTTCAATGTTTATTATAAAATTTTATTGTTATTGTTATTTTTCTTTTTTTTTTTTTTTTTTTTTAGTTATAAATTATATATTTATATTTTTTTCTATTACTTAAAAAATTTTATTTTTTTTTTTTTTTTTTTTTTTTTTTTTTTTTTTTAATATATTTTATATTTATACAAATTCATCTTTAATAGACAAGAAATTTTTATTCATTAATATATCTTCAATATTTTCCATTTCCATATATTTAATCTCTTCTACTTTGTTCCATTGAAAACTTTTATTTTTTTTTGCAAGAATTTCGGTTACACCTGTTTCAAATGTTTTTGTATGATATAAAAAATATTGAGAGATTTTATAATCATTATCTAATATGTCTTCTAAAGTCTTATCATAATTATAAAGAAAATATGAAAACCAAAATCTACAACTGAAATAGCAATTGTTATTAATGTCAGATAATAATTTCTTGCAAAAATCATTATTATCTTTTTTTAATTTGCTTATTAATTCCTCTAAATTATTTGCAGAATTATAATATTTATTGATATTGCTAACTAATTCTTCTGTTAATACAGGGGTAACATTACAATCTTTTAAAGGATATTTACTTAATATTTTATGATATTCATTATTAAAATCATTTAGATTATTTTTTTTAATATTTTTTAATTCATTTAAAAATAAGTCAATATTTTCAATATAATTGGTACATACTTTAAAATTCATTAAATCTGCTTCATTTAATTTTAAAGAAGTTAATCCTAAATGTAATCCAATATTTCTACCAAAATATTTTTTAAAAAAATAACAAGAACCAATATCAGGGAAAAAACCTATTTTATTTTCTGGCATTGCAAAAATAACATTTTTATGAATTACTCTGTGTTTTGAATACATAGAAATTCCTAACCCTCCTCCCATAACATATCCATTCCAAATACATAAAAAATTCTTTTTAAATTTTGATAAATAATTAATATACAAATAAAGTTGTCTTAAATGCATTAATCCTTTTTCTTTGTTTTCAATTATAGCCTTTACATCAGAACCTGATGAAAAACTAGTTGTATTAATACTTCTAAGCACTATCATATGGCATCTTTTATCATTATCTAAACTCTTTATCATATTTAATAAGCCAGTTACCATATCTTTATTTAATGCATTCAATTTATCCGGCCTATTTAAAATTATTTCAAATATATTATTTTTATAATTTACTAATAATGTTTTTTTTGACCAAATATCAGATAATTCTAAATCTATTATATCATCCATATTTTTTTTTTCATCGCTTTTATTTTCATTATTTACATTTAAGTCATTTTTATCAGTAGAATTTTTGTCTTCTATATTTTTATTAATATTATTGCACATCTTTTTGTTAGATATATTATGTTTAATTATTTGATTTAGGCCATTTCGTTCTGCCATTTGATTTAAAATTTTTATATTATTTTTTAAAAGAAAATATAAATTATTGTCAAGTTCATCAATATTTCTTTTGTATCTATTTGGATAAGTAAGAAATATACTTATTTTCTTTTTTTTCTGATAGCATATATTTTTATAAAAAAGGAATGTGTGAAAGAAGTAATTTTTTTCATTTAATTTTGCAGCATAATCAAAAACGTTTGCTAAACGACAGTTATTCACATTATGTAATGAAAATTTTTTTACCATTATTACCTGAATATATATATATATATATATATATTAATTTAACCTAAATTTTATATTTTGAAAAAATTTAGATTATAAGTTTTTAAAAAAAGTAAATAAAAAGCTTCTTAGATTTATATAGTATATATAGGAAAATATATATATATAAAAAATATTGCTTATATAAAAATATTTTTAAAAGGATTCACTAAAAAATGTACACATAATATTTAGTATAATTTTTTTTTAATATAAAGGTATAAAATAAAAATTAAAGCTGGAGATAATTATTTTACTTATTCTATAAAGATTCAATTCTTAATGTATCAGCGAATTAATCAAAATTCTACATATTTATAAAAATTAAAATATTGATAAAAAAAAAAAATATATTATATTTAAAATATTTCTTTTATAAGAAAAAATAAAAGATTTTATAATAAAAATAATTTTAACTCATTTAGTCTTTTTTATTTTATTAAGAGAAAAATAAATAAAATTTTAAAAAAAATTCCAAAAAAAAAAAAAAAGTTAAAGCAAAGTTTTATATTAATTTTATATACACTCATTTCGAATAAGAATATATGTATATGTAATTTTTTTAGAATTTTCCTCTTACCTATTTTTTTTTTATTTTTTTTTCATTAAAAAATAGAGTCATATTTATATATTTATATTCTTTATATGAATTTCATTTTAATTAATTATGAATACTTATAATTTGGTATAATTATTATGTAATGCTTTAGCATTCACATTATATATTTATTTATACTTGATAAATTTATTTTTTAATTGAAAAGGTAGTTTGAAATACACAAATATGGAATATATATATTTATATGTGTAATATTTACGTATGTTTGCAATTTATTCATCATATTAGTAATATTTTTTTTTCTTTTTTTTTTTTTTTTTTTTTTGATAATCATGTATATTGAAAAGTGAGATAAGAAAATTTTCTTATAAAATATACAAATTATTTGTATAACATTTTTTTATGCTTTTTTTTTTTATTTTATCATTTTATTTTTTTTAAAAACTATGAATACAAATGAATGGAGAAATATTGATAATACTTATTATGGAAAGCAAAAAATAAGTAATATGGTTTGGAGCAATGAAGATATATTAAATAATAGTATTGTTTGTTCAGGATATTTAGGTTTAATAGCTGTCTTAATGAATAAAGAGAAGTTTGATGATTATAATAAGAAAGATAATTTAAAAATATATACAAATATTGGTAGGCTAATATCAAGTTGCAGATTAAGTTATGATGGATTAATATGTTTTGGATGGAATAAAAATAATGATTTAGTTTTATTATTTAAAGATAATATAGTTAGAGTATACTCCTGTTTTTGTGAAAAAATTTTTGTTTTTTCATTAGATGAAAATATAAAAAGTGAAGGAATATTAACAGGAAAAATATGTGAAGAGGGTATCATTATAATAACAGAAAAGTTAAATATATATGTTAATTATTATTTTAGTGGTAATAATTGTATTAAATATCCTAATATTGATTTAAAAGGAAAACCAAATTGTATTTGTGCAATTGAAGAAGACAAATTAAATAACGATTTGAATATTGAACAAAACTATTTTGATAGAAAACCAAATAATGATTTACTGAAATTAAATTTAAAAAATTATATAACAAATACGTTCGATAAAAAGGAAAATATAAATGAAAGTATGAATTACAAAAACAATGTGCTTATTAAAAGTAATGAAAAATATAATATAAAAGATGAAAATGGGACACAAAGAAAAAAAAAAAATATATTAATAAAGACCACTACGTATGATTTAAATAAGACCTCTGTAAATTCCAATAACAATAAAATACAGCAAGAACGAATAAATGAAGAGCTAAATATACACATATTAATAGCTTTATGTAATGGAGGATTTGCATTGGTAAATAGATATCATTACAAATATTATGATACAGATTATAGTCATCCATATATTAATATGTCTATTTCAAAATCAGGAACTATTTTAGCGTTTTTATCGAATAATGGCATAATAAGAATTTATTTAATTAATAATTTAAATAAGTGTATTGAAGAAACTATTTTAGATAGTAAAAAAACTATAAAACAAATTGTTTGGTGTGGTGATGATTGTTTAGCCGTTTATACTCCTATGATTACTCCATCTAATGATATACAACATATGTTATTTGTAGGTGGACCAAAAAATCAGTGGATTCCATACCAATATAGACATAATTTATATTTAATTGGAGATATATATGGAGTAAAAATTATAAGTAAAGAAAGTTATGAATATGTTAGCAGAATTCGAAAATCTGTCTTTAATATTTTTAGTATAGGAAGTTGTACTCCTTCGGCTATGTTACTTTACTCATATGAAAAGTATAAAAATGGAAACATTTGTCTTGATGATGAAATAAGAGCATTTAATAATAATTTAGATGTTGCTATTGAAGAATGTTTAGATGCTGCTACACATGAATATAATGAAAATATAATAAACTTATTACTACAAACATCTCTATTCGGAAAAAATTTTATGAAAATTAGTTATAACTGTAATAAATTCTTGTTATTTTGTTTGTACTTAAGAATATGCATGAATGTTAGAAAACCTCCCTTAGATATTTTTATTACAGCTTCAGAACTTAAATTTATTACTATACCTACTTTTGTTCAATATATTGTTAGAAGAAAAGAATATTTTTTAGCTTATAGAATTTGTGAATATGCAGGAATAAAAACGGATAATATATTAATTGAATGGTGTAAAGAAAAAATTGAAAAGTCAATTGAATTAACTGACGAACAATTATACTGTACTATAACAGAAAAAATAAAAAACGAGAAAAATATAGATTATTCCTATATTGCTTTTATTGCTGCTAAAAGTTTAAGACCACAATTGGCTACTATAATTATTCAATATGAAGAAAACAAAAAAAAACAAATTGATATGTTACTAAAATTAGCTAATTATACTTTATCAGTTGAAAAGGCAATTCTTTCCAAAGATATTGAACTTGTTTATTTATGCATTATAAATATTATAAATCAAGAAAAAGAAAATATAGATGGAGAAAAGGAATTGTCTACATTAACAGAAGTTTTTAAAAATAATATCCAAGCTTCTAACTGTTTTTACATTTATTGCAAAAAAACAAAGCAATATAAGTTACTTAAGCAATTTTATGAAAAAAATGGACAACATTCACAAGCTGCTTTTGTTACACTAGATCTAGCTCTTTCCAAAAAAAATTATGAACAAAAAAAAACATGGCTAGCATATTCAGCAGGATTTTTAACAACAGATAAAATGAATAGTCATATAAATTTTGTTCATTCATCAATAATGAATAATATAGATTTATTAAACTATCAAAAAGAGTTAGAAATGAAGTATAATAAAAAATCAGTTATAGGATATCCTCATAAAATTCAAGGATTATCATTAATGAAGACTGTTGAATATATTATATCAGTCGGTGAATTTTTGGATGCAGATAACCTTTGTAAAAAATTTAAAATATCTGAACCGAAGTTTTGGAGATGTAAAATATATGCACTAGCTAAAAATAAATATTTTGATGAATTATACAATTTTGCAAATTATAGAGTATCGCCAATAGGAATGGATTATTTTATTGAATGCTCTTACGAATACGGTTCAATTCCACTAACTATTAAATTAATTCAAAAAAATAAAGATTTAAATACACAATATAAGTGGTTTACAAAATTTAATATGCAAAAAGAAGCAGAAAATGTGTTAAAACAGCTAAAATCACAAAAAATTACAAGCACAATATTTCAAACAATTACCGATGCTATATCAAATATAAGATAATATTTGACAAAGGCATTATTTTCTTATAATTCATATAAGTTTATAAAAAAGTAGACTACAATAGCACAATTTTATTCTTAAATAATTTAAATTTTTTTCATTTTATTTTTTTTTTTTTTTGTAAATAAATATGTTTTTCATAATTATATTTATTCATATGCTATATTGATTTATATTATTTTTTAAGCTTACAATAAAAAACTTTTTTTTTTTTACGTTGTTTTATACACACTAATAATTTTAACTATTTTTAAGATTTAATGTTTTTTTTTTTTTTTTTTTTTTTTTTTTTTATTATTAATTATTCATTGTTCTAATAAACAATTTCGAAATAAATTTATTATATTTATTTTTTTTTGTTGTTAATATGTAATTAAGAAAAAAAAAAAAAGTTAAACATTTAGAATTAATAGAATATAATTTATATATTAAAAATATATATTTCTTTAAAAATATTTTTATCTTTTGAACTTATAAAACAAAATACATAATATGTTGTAGCAAAAAAAAAAAAAAAAAAAAAAAAAAAAAAATGTGTAACTTAAAAAAATGATATTCTTCATTTTATAAAAAAAATACATTGAAAAACAATGATATAATAAAATTATAATTTTATTATATTTAAAATTTTTAAAAAAATACATGAAATTTAACAAATTTTTTGAAATATATATTATATATTATATATTCTAGGAAAATACAAAAAAAAAAAAAAAAGAAAAAAAAAAAAATAATAAAATTTTTATTAAAAATAATTTTTATTATTATTGATGTTTTTTTTTTTTTTTCTTTTTTTTTTTAAATAATATATATAAATTTTTCATAATGTAAATTTTTATTCAAAAAAAATACAAATGCATATAAACATAAATTTTTTTTCTATAAGTTAATGGAAGATACATATTTATATAAGATTATAAATTTTTTAAAAAGATATTAAAATATTTATGATTAAACTATGTTTAACAAATTTTTAATTGCAAAAGCTGCAATTTTTCTCTTAAAATATGTTTTGATTTGAGAACAGATTGGAAAATATTATCACAATCTATTTTAGAAAACTTAAAATTTTGTATCGTTGTGTCCAATTCTGCTTCTGACTCATTGTCATTTTTTAATTTTAAAAGTGTCAATATCTCAAAATACAAGCTATTAGTTGGATCAGTAAAAAACAAAATTTCACTGATAATAAATAAAACACTTTTAAATAAATTTATGTATATACATAAATTGTTTTGAATATAAGTCATATTATTTATATTTATTATTTCTTCAACTTCATTATTCTGTAAATTTCCACTTTTTTTAGAAAATTCTTCAAAATGATATTCTTTGATTTGATATTTTAAAGATACAATTGTTTTTGATTTTTTATTTATTTCATCATGCAATTTTTGTATTTCTTCTTTTAATTTTTTTATAAAGACTTTTAAATTTTCTTCTTTATAATTTTCTATAATTTTTAAATTATCATTATTTTCATCTATATTATTTATTAAAATAGATTCTCTTTCTTTATAATAATTGCAACTATCTTTTAGCAAGCTATTTTGCATTTGAAAAAATTCTAAATCTAACGTTATTTCGTAATTTTCTTTCATAGTTTTATTTAATTGATTCCTTATTTCCATTATACTGTTCAAAAGTTGTTTTTTGTTTTCTTCTTCTGATTTAATATGTTCCCTAAAATTTTCATTTTCTTTTTTATAATGTTCACATAATTTTATATAATATACATTATGCGATTCTTCCGTGTTAAATTCATTCATTAATTCATCATGAATAGATTTATAAAAATCAAGAGTTGAATTTAAATTTTTTATATCGTTTTTGTAAATTTGCACTTCATTTTTCAGTTTAAATATTTCATCATTACTAATGTTAATTTCTATTTTATATTTTTCATTTTCTTTCTTTAATTCTAATATTTTATTAAAATTTTCAGAATTCTCTTCTACATATATATCTACACATTCATCTACAGTTTTGTTTTGTGCGTCTATTTTTTTTTGTTTATCTTCCAATTCCTTTTGTAATATATTTAACCTACTTTCACATAGCATTAAATGTCTTTTTGTACCTTGAGTATTTTTTAATTCCTCTCTTAAAAATTCACATTTTTCTATTAAATCATTATTTTCCTGTTTCAAAATTTTTATTTGTGAATCTGCATTTTTTAACTTATCATTTAATTCATCTACTTCTAATTTCATTTCTTCAATTTTTACTTCATTTTCATCATAAAAATTAAAATGCTCTTGATTATTATAGTCAGATAATCTTTTTTCACTTTGATCAAAAATATCACTTTTTTTTAATATATCTTCACTCATAATACCTTCATAATTTGTTTTTTCTTTTTCGTTATGTTTATCATGTATGTTATTATTAAAGCTACTTCTTTTTATAATACTTCTAAGTGCAGGAGACAATTTAACATTATTTATATCAAATAAATTGTTTTCATCAATATTATTACATAATAGTTTTATCTGATCTTTTAAAAAATTAATATAATTTTTATTTTTTTCTAATAAGTCATCTTTATTTTCAATATCTTGTTGATTTTTAATTATAATATAATTTTTATCTGTAATATCTCTATTTAAATCTTCAATATATTTGTTTAGTTTCCATATTTCTTCATTTTTTTTTATTAACTCCTCATTTTTTTTACTCATTTCTTCAATGTGTATAACTTTATCTTGTTCTAAACTTATTGTATCATCTTGTAATTCATTAGATTTTTCTATTTTGTTATTGTACAACATGCTTTTATGACAATTTATAATATCTATTATCTCTTCATCTTCATTTTCAAAAATCGCTGTTATTTTCTCTCTTATATCAACTATATTAAAGTCTTTATTAAAGCATATATCTATTATTTGTATGCATTTAATTTTATATCTTTTTATTTCTTCCATCACTTTTTCTTTTTCTATTATAGCATCATTTAGTTCTATTTCTTTTTTATTTAATGCTATGTCGTTACTATTTATAATTTCTTCTAATTCCTTTTTCTTTTCTTTTAATACATCAAAATTATTTTTCAACATTTCCATTTCTTCTACTAATATTTCATTATCATTTTCTAATTTGTTTATTATTATCACTAACTCCTTCTTATTTATTTCTTCATAAGGTTCGTTTGTAAATACTTCTTTATATATGCTACTTGATTTATTTTTATTTATTTTTCTTTTATTGTCTTCTTCATTTACGTTTTTATTATGTTCGTTATACTCACTTTTCTCTTCTATATTTTTAATTAAAATTTCATTGAATTCTTTTAATTCATTTATTACATTATTTTTTGACTCTAAATTTTTTTCTAGATTTTCTATAATTTTTTCTTTTTCACATATCTCATTTTTAAGATAAATATTTTTTTCTGTTAATTCTTTTAATATTATTTTATTTTTCATATTTTCATGATTTAATTCATTTAAACTGTGTGTGGCTTGATCTAGTGAAGTATTTAAATAGTTTAAATCTGTTTTAAGATAATAATTTATTTTTTCCGTCCTTGTTTTTGTTTGGTTTTTTTCAATTAACTGTTCTTGCAAATTTTTTAATTCATATTCATTATTTTGAATGATAACTACTTTGTCATTATAGTCATCATTTAATTTCTTATATAACATACTTAACTCTTCATTTTCTTTTAATAATATTTCATTTTTTGCAGATTCTTTTGTTAAAAGGTTTTTTAATTTATCTAATTCTTCTACATTTTTAAAAAAATCATTAGATAATGAATTCATTTTTTTCTTTAATATTTTAACATTTTTTTTTAATTCCTCCTTTTCAATATTTATGTTTTTATTTATCTTTTTAATTTCATTTATAATATTATTTAAAATATTTATAAAATGATATTCTAACTCACTTAATTTATTATGTATATTATTCCAATCATTCTTTTTGTAAGAATTATATATATCAATGCATACGTTTTCAAAATTACCAAAATCATCATCTATATTTTTTAATTTATTATCTAAATTGTCTGTCAACTCTTCATTTGTTTTGTGAAATGAATCTAAATTTTCGCTATAATATAATGGGTTATTATCGATTAAATCTCCCATTTTCTTAGAATTTTTTTTTTTTAATAGACTTAATTTCAAAGTCTCTTTTACACTAGATGTATTTTTTCTTATCATATCGAACAAACATTCTTTTATTAAAATAATTTTATTATAAAATTGGTTTTCATATAAAATTTTATTTAGAATTTTTTTATATATCATAGAATCTTTTAATAAAAGCAACACATTTTCATAACTACAATCATTTTCATTTATAAATTCGTTTAACTGTATTAAAAAATGTAAATTCTCTTCAAATATATGTATTTTACTTGAAATATTATTAATTATATTTTTGTATTCATATATAATTTCTTGTTTTTTTAAATTTTCTTTATCATATTGAGATATTTTGTCATTTAAAGATTCAATTATTTTATTTTTTTGATTTAATTCATGAAAAATTTTTCTATCTTGATCTACATCTGATTCATCATAAATGCTTACAATACTATTATTAATATTGTTGTTTTCTAATTTTCCACCTTCTTGTTCTTTTTCTAATGCTAATTTTTTTTTCATTTTTAAACTTAACATATTAAATATTTTTTTACATTCTTCTACTTTTTCTTCATAAATTATTTTTAATTCATTATATTTCACCTCATCTTCTTTTATTTTTTTTTCATTAAATATTTTTTCATCATTCATATTCTCAATATTGGCTAGTAAAATATCAATGTCACACCGCATATCTTTATTAGCTTGTTGTAATTCTATATTTATGTTATATAATTCCTCATTTTTATTTTTTAAATTTATTATCAATTCATGAGCTTCATCTAAATTATCTTTTAGTTTTTTAATATCTTCCCCATCATATATTATTTTTTCTATTGATTTTTTAGTAATACTTAATTTTTCTTTATTTAATTCATTTATTTCCTTTTCATAATCTTTAATTACTGAATTTAAATCCTCAATTTTCTTCTCATAATCATCATTTTTTTCTTGTAAAAGATTTTTATTATTATCTAGTATGTTTATTTCATTTGAAAATTCAATTAATTTTTGTTGTAAATCTAAGATTTGTTTATTTTTTTCATTTAATAATGCTTCTGATTCTTTTAAGGATGTCAAAATATTAGTATCATCACTTTTATATTTTGCTAATTCTTCGTCTATATTTTTTTTATTCATTTGCTCAATGTTTAATAATTCCTTTAATTTTTCTAATTCTATTTTATAAATTTCTTTTTCTTTTTTTTCGATTTCAAATGTTTTTTTGTATATTTCTAAATCCTTTTCACGATTTATTAAATCACTTTTTAAATTTTTAATTCTTTTTTTAAATTCCTTAAAATATGTAGTATATTCAAGTGAATCTAAATTTAGACTTTCATTTTCATTATCAACATCATCTTCTGCTAATTTCTTTAATGAAGGAGAATTTTTTATATTGTTATTTAAGGAATCATTTAATACACTTTCATTATTATTAACATCCAATAATTCTATAATGTTATGATCTTTTAATTTTTCATAAATTTTTTTTAGTTTTGTTTCTTTCATTTTTATGTCATTATGAGCACTATATAATTTTTCAAATTTAATCATTAAATCATTTTTTAATTCTTCCATATGAATTTTATCATTATTTAATTCTTCTTTTTTAATCATTAATTCATTAGTTTTATTTATTAAATCTTCTTTATTTTGTATTAACTCATTTTCCCTATTGACTAATTCTTCTTTTCTTTTTATTAATTCACTTTCTTTAATCATAAATTTTTCATTTTGATGCATTAATTCATTTTCTTTATGTATTATATTTTTTTCTTTCATGTCAATTTCATTTAATTTATTATTTATTTCTTTTTTTTTATTTTCATATTCATTTATTAGATTATTCAATTCATCATTACAAGAATTTTTTTTGTCATTCAAAATATTTAATTCTTGTTTTTTTTCATTAATTTCCTTTTCATATTTATTTTTTTCTGAAATCATTTTATTTAATGTTTCTTCTAAGGATATAATATCTTTTTCTTTTTTCATGAAAGTATCATCAATTTCTTCTTTTAATTCTTTTTTCATATAATTCTGATGAACTTTAATCATTACATTTTTAATAAATGATAAATATTTTGTTTTTGTCTCATTATTTATTTGATTTATTAACTCTTCAATATTGTTTCTTTTAGATTCAATATAAGTTATAATTTTATGTTCTAATATTTTTGTATCTTCTTCTAAAATTTCCATTTCTCTTGAATTTTTTTCAATAGTATTTTCAAGATCTTTTATATACATATTTTTCTGATCTATATCATCTTTGAGAATTTTAATTTCATTATCCATTTCCTTTATAGCTATTTCAACTAATGCATATTTTTTATTTTTTTTTTCATTCTCTTCTTCTAATATGTTCATATAATATTTTAAATTTTTAGCCTCCTCTTCATATTCTTCAATTTTTTTATTCGTATCAAATTTCAGTTTATTATAATTTGTAAAAGAATTTTTTAATTCTGTTCTTAATTCATTTAATTTTTTATAATGCAAATCATTTTCAATCTGATTACTTTTTTTTAAATGATCAATTTCATTTTCATAATAAATTATTTCCTCACTTTTTTTGCTTGTTTCTGTTTCATTAATATTTCTATTATTTACATCTAAATTTTTATTACATATATTACTATCATTTACATGATTTATATAATTATCTATTTTTTGTTTAAGTTCAGATATTTCATTTTCTTTTTCATTCAATAAATTTTTTATAAAATTAATTTCTTCTTTTGAATCTTTTAAAAAACTGTCTAATGTACTTATTTCATTATTTGAATTGGCTACTTTTAGCTCTAATTCTTTAATGTAAGTGTTATTTGTATTTTTCTCATTATTTAAAAATTTAATTTCATTGTTTAATGTGTCAAGAATTTCTAATTTTTTTTTTATTACATTTTCTTTTAACTCTAATTCTTCATTTAACGATTTTTTTATTTCATTTATTTTTTCTTCAAGTTGATTATTAATTGATTCTAAATTTTTTATAATTAATTCTTTTTCTTTTACCTCTTTTTCTTTTATTTTTTCATTTTCTTCTTTTTCATTTTTTAATTCTTCTAATTTTCTATTAGCTTCTTCTAATGAATGTAAAGATATTTTATATTCATTTAATAATGTTTCATAATCGCTTTCTATTTTTAAAAACATTTCTTCATTCTTCAAAAAAATGTCAGAATTTTTTTGTTTATGACTTTCATCTAGTTTTTTTTGTAAATTTTCTTTTATTCTTAATTCTTCTTCATAAATATATTTTAGGTTATCAATTTCTTCTTCTTTGTTATCCAAGCATAAATTCATATTATTTATAACAATCTCATAATTTTTTACTTCATTTTCTTTTTCTTTTATTTTTTTAATCAATTCGTTTTTCGTTGAAATCAATTCATTGTAATAATTATCATTCATTATACTATTAATATCCTTTTTTAATAAATTTATAAAATTTTCAAGTTCACTGTTTTTTATGAAATCATTATTTAAAAGTTCAATTAAATTTATATGCTTTTTCAATGTTAATGAATTATTGTCTTTTAACAAATCAAGTGATTCTATATAATTTGTAATGTTTTCTTTATTTTTTTTATTTTCCGAAATATCATTTTCTACATTATCTTTTTCTTTTAAATCAGAAACACTAGCTTCATTTTTTTTTTCCTTTAAAAAATCTTTTAATGAATTATATTCATTGAATAAGTTATTATATTTACTATTTACTTCATTATTACATTTTTTTAATTTTTCATATTTGTTTTCTAATTCATTATTTTTTTGTTCAATTATTAAAATTATTTCCTCATATTCTCTTATAACATTATTTGTTTCATTTTTTGAATATTTTGTTTTATCTAAGTTCATTTGTTCTATTTCAAAATTTTTATTATTAATTACAATATTTTTTTCATTTAATTCGTCTATTAAATTATTTATTTTTTCATCCATGTTTTTTATAACTTCTTTTAATGTATCATTTTCTGACATAAATTTATTATTTTCTACTAACAATTTAGATCTACTTTCTATTAATTCTTTATATTCGTCTAATAAAATAGAAATTTTATTTAGATTCCTGTTGTCTTTTTCCTCATCCTTTATATTATCGTCAATATTTTTTAAACTTAATGGACTTTCTACTTTTATTTGAATTTTCTCATATATATTGCTATGTTTATTTTCCACATTTTTTTCTTCAGATAATTTTTTGTTTTTATTTATTTCTTCTTCAAGTTTATTTAATAAGCTTTCACGCATCTTTGAGAACTCTTCAATATTCATAGAATTTTCATTAATTATTTCATTAATTCTGTTTCTCAATTTTTCTTTTTCCTCCTGATGTTTTCCATTTTGTTTTGAATAATTGAATACTTCCTTATTTAACTCTTCAATAATATATTTTTGGTTTTCTGTTAATAGGCATTTTTTTTTATATTCCTCCTTTAACTTTATAATAAATTTATAAAATTTGTTTAATTCCTCTCTATTAATAATAATGTCATTTTCATGTCTTTCATTATTGTAAGCCGTAAAAAAGTTTACGATTACTTGTGAGTAAATGCTACTGTTATCATCATCTAATGAATAATCACTTGGAAGATTTTTTTTTGATGCAATTCCATCGATAGACTCAAAAACATCTTCTATAATCATTAAATTTGTTGATTTTATTTTTTTTAGTTCTGTTCTAAAGTATTCATAATTGAAATTGCTTTCATTGAATATTTCTATGAATGTTTTAATTTTATCATTCAAGTAGAATAAGTAATTTTTCACTTTTTTGTAACTTTTCTCATAATGGGAATTTTTATTCATAATAATTTTATATTCATCAATTTTATATTTTAGATTATTAATTTCTAATTTTAAGTTTTCATTTTCTTCTTTTTCTAATTTGTTTTCAGTCACCAAATCCTTATAATTATTAGAATTTTCTATTTCTAAAATTTTTAAGTTTCCATCATTTTTATCTGATATATTTTTACCGTCTATGGAAGAAATAATTTTAATTAATTCTTTATTATCATTAAATATATTTTTATTTAAACTTTCTAATTCACTAATTTTTACCTTTAGTAAATCATTTTCAATAGTTAAATCGTTAATTTCACCTTTTATTTTTTTTATTATAATATCCTTTTGTTGTTCTATATCTTCAGTTTCCTTTTTATTATTTTTACCATCATATTTTTTTATACTATTTAATTTAATTTCTAAATTTTCTTCTTTTTCTTTTATTTCTTTTTCTATTAACAATAAGGAATTCATTAGTTTATCATCATTTTTTTTTAAATTACTTTTCTCATGTAAATTAGAAGATGAAATATTATTTAATTCTTCAGATGCTTTTAAATATTTCATGTATAAATCGAGTTTTTCTTTATCTAAATTTAAAAATTTCATATTATACTGTTCATTTTCTTTAACTAAATTTTTAACATTTTCAGACAAGGAATTATTTTTTTCACTTAAATCTTCGTTAATTTTTTTTAACTCACTTATTTCTTCATGAAGCATGGATTGAGTTTTTAATTTTTCATCAAATATCTTTTTTAATTCATCATATTTATGTAATAATTTAGCTTTTTCATCTAATAAATTTGTTATAATTTCATCATAATTTTTTAATTTTCCTAATAAATCATTTTCATCTTTCTTTTTTATTTCAGATTCGCGTTCTTTTTCTTTTTCAAATACATCAAATGGTTCATTGTACTTATTTTCAAATAATTCATATTTGGTTTTCATATTTTCAACATACTCTTTTAGTTGTTCTTTTTCTTTTATGTGTTCCTTTATATCCTCATTTAACTTCTTTAAAATTTCTTCATATTCTTTAATTTTTGATTCTTTTTTAAATATTTCATCATTCAAAGATAAAAATTCTTTTTCGAATTTCAAGCTTTTAGAGTACTCTATCTCTAAACTTTCTTGATCTTCCTTTCTTTTTTTTATCAAATTTTCTATGTATTTACTCTTTCTTTCTAGTTCTTTCTCCATTTTATAAAACTCCTCATCGCATTCCTTTTGTTTATCAATAATATTTATTATTTTATTTTGCAAATTATCAATTATTTCTTCATAATTTTCTATTTTTTTTTTTAAATATTCATTTTTATTTTTATATATATTTAATTCATTATTTACTGTCTCTATTTGCAACTTTAAACACTTATTTTCAGCTACATATGTATAATCAGTTTGCTCATTGTCATTTTCATTTTTTTCTTTTTTTTTTTTTAACTCATTTACACTATTCTGTAAGTTATATAAATTATGTATTTGATCATTCAAATACTTATTTTCTTCAATTAATTTTTCGTTTTCATATTTTAAAAACATGTTATTTTTTTCTTCTACCATTTTATTTTTATCACTATTTAATATTTCGAAAATTGTTTCTTTATAATTAATTGGAGATTTATTATTTACACATTTATTATATTGGTTATTATCGTAACTATTTTTATTATTTAAATTATATTCTTCGTTTTGTCTTAATTTTTTTTTTAAATCATTGATTAACTCTCTATCTTCTTTTAATTTTTCTTTAAAATCATTATATTTTTTTTCTGCATTTTCTAATTTTGATTCAAACACTCTTTTTTTAAATATTAGCAATCTCACACATTTTAAAAATTCATTTATATAATCTGATATTTCATTAGTATCATTAATTTTTAAATTAGTTAATTCATTATTTATTGAATCACTAACATTACTCAAGTTTAATGAATTGATTAATATTTCATTTTCCACATTATCTTTTGTGTTTAATTCTTTTTCAATATATTTTTTATAATAAATAATATGAGAACATATTTTATAATAGAAGTTTAAAGTTTTGTTATATTCATTAATTATATTATTTTTCTCATTTTCTTTATAATCATTTTCTACTTTTTTCATATCTAAATCATTCAGTATTTCTGATTTTTCTTCAATTTGTTGTTTAAAAAATTCTATTTGTTTTTGGAAAACTTCGTTTTTAGTTATCAATTTATTTTTAACATCTGTTAATTCATATAACTCCATGGATAATTCTTTGCATTCATCACTTCTTAATGCAAGTAATTCATTAACTGCATATAATTCTGAATTAAGCTGACTTGTATCTTTCTCTAGATTTTTAATTTTTTCATTATAAGATATAATTTCATTATTCATTTTTCGTATAATTTCATCTCTTCTTTCTATTGTTCTTTCCATTTCAACATTTTTCCTTTCATCAATTAATAATTTATCTTTTAATTTTCTTAATTCTTGTTTTATATTATCGTTTTCTTCTTTTAAGAGCAAACTGTATTTTTTTAACTCTTTTACATTTATGTTATTATTATTATTATTGAAAATACATAATTTTGAATTAACTAAATCATTAAAATCTACATCTCCATTTAACCCTAAATCCTCTTCAGTAAAAATTTTATGTTCTAATTTTGTTTTTTCTATTTCACTTATTTTAATATCACCAAATACTGCTCTTCTTAAATTATTTTCTAATTCTTCTATTAAATGATCCTTATTTTTTTTAATATCATTTAATATCAGAATTTCCTGATTTAACTGTTCCTTTTCATCTTTTAATTTTAATAACATGGAGTCGTGTTCCAGTATTTTCTTCTCAAATATTTTAATATTTTCATTTAATGAAACTATATTTTTTTCTTTTTCTTGTCCTAATATTTTTTCTTTCTTTAAATCCACACTCAATTTTTCATTATCTTTTATTAAATCATCAATTTTATTTTCTAAATCTTGAACTAACATTTTCATGCTTGTATTTTTATCTAATAACACTTTGTATTCAAGCATTTTTGCCTCTAAATCAGAAACTACCTTTAATTTATTTTTAACTGAATTATTAATTTCGTCATTTTGTATTTTTAATTTATCGATTTGATCTATATATTTTTTTTGTTCTAATTCATAATTTAATTTTAATGTATTAATTTCTTCTTCTTTTGTGACAGCATATAAGTGTGCTTCTTTTATTTCTTTTATAAAATTTTGTTCATTTTCTTTCAGTATATCATTAAACTTTTTCTCTTCTTCTATTATTTCTCTTAATTTATCTATTTCTTTTTCGTACTCATATTTTTCTTGGTTTAAGTTATCTACTGTATCCTTCAATTTAATTATATCATTATCTAAATTATGAATAATATTTTTTAAATTATAAACATCATCTCTTAAATAATCATTTTCTTTTTTTAAAATATCTATTTGTTTATCTAGATTAGTTTCAATGTCTCTTAATTTCTCTTTAAGATGATTTTTTGCGTTTTCTAAATTTTGAACTTCATTACTTAAAAAGGTACATTTCATGTTTACTTCATTTAATTCTATATTTTTATCTTCCAAATCTTTCATTAAAATATTTATTTCATTATTTTTTTTTTTCACATCTTCCGAAAGTATTATACAATCCTCTACTCTTTCATCTCTTTCAACTAAAATATTTTTTAAATTATTTTCATATTGTTCATATAATAAATTATTTTCATTCATTTTGATATTTAACTTATTTTCTAATTCTTTGATTTTATTTATCATTTCCTTTTTTTCCTCTTCATATTTTGAATTAAATTCTGCTAATACATCTACTTTTTTCACAATTTCTTCTGCAGTATCTAAAAACGCTTCCTTTTTATTCATTAAAAAATTTGAAACATTTTTTTTATAATCATTATCATTATATTCAAAATCTTCGTAAAGTTCATTAAATTTTTTTATTTCACTCATTTCAAAATTTTCACATAGTTCTATAAATGTTTTATTGAAACCTTGAACTCTTTGTTTCAAATTTTTGTAAAAATATTCTTTCGATTTATAAGATTTATTTATATTATATAAAAAGTAATCCCTTTTTATTATTTGTTCTTTCAATATATCTATATTCATTTTTTTTTCGTTTACTTCTTTTTTTAATTTTACTACAGATTCATTTGTTCTGTTTAATTCATCATGGGCTTCCTTTAAATTCATTTCAAATTTATAAGTAGCTGATTTAAGATAAAATATTTCATTTTCTGCATTTTTTTGAATTAATTCAAGTTCTTCAATTTTTGACAACCTTAATTTTAATTCTGTTTGCATACTATCCCATTTTTTTTTATATAATTCTATATCTTCCTTGTATTTAGAATTTAAATTATCTAATGAAATGTTATCTTTTGTTAATATATCATTCTTCTCCTTTTCTTCTTTGTATTTTATTTCTATTTTTTTTATATGTTCATCAAACTCTTTTATTTTATTTTCTTTTTTTTTCATGTATTCAACTAACTCATTACATTCATTAAATATTTCTTGTGTCTTCTGTTCATGCATTTTTATTTCATCTTGTGTTTCATTATATTTAACAAATAGCAAATTATAATCTTTTTCAATAGTTGATAATTTTTCAGTTCTTTCTTTTATGTCTGATATTAAAGAGTCGTGTTCATTTAATAAATTTTCATACTTTATATTGGTATTATGAAACTCCTTTTCATTATCTATTAATTTTTTTTGCATTATTAAAGTTTCTTTTACTTTTGATTCGTATTTTCTATTTACATAATTTATGTCATTTATCAACTTTTCTATTTCGAAAAATGAAAAATCATTTTCTTTTTTTTTTTTTTTTTCATGTGTTATTATTTTTGAATCTGTACTATTTGGTAAAGAATAAAATGTTTCAAGAGTTTTTACATTTTTAGATTGGATTTCTAAAATATTCAAGTTATCATTTTTTTTTTCATTTAAAAAATACAATGTATTATTTAGTTCTTTATATGCCTTTTTATATTTTATTAAATTAATTTTAAAATTATTACATATAGAGAATCTATGCATTCGTATTCTCATGTAAACTGTCTTTTTTTTTTTTCTTTTATGAATGTTTTTTCCTTTATCAATAAACTTTAAACTACTTATATCTTCAGGTAACTTAAAAACTTTGGTTGATTTGCTTTGCATACTATTTTTTCCATCAATACTTGTATTATTATTGCTATTTTTTGATTTAGTAATAGAAGATAAAATCAACTGAGTATTAGAATTATCATTTGCCGATAACATACCTTCTTCAAAATTATCTTCAGAAGAAGATGAAATAAAAAAAGAATTGTTAATATCATTTTTTTTATTTTCCTTATCTATTTTTTTTATGTTTATAATTAAGTGTCTTACTGTATTCATCATTTTGTTAAAGATGTTATACATTTTTTTGTTTTTTCTTTTTCTTTTTCTTAATAATAATTTATATTTTAATTTCTCTTTTTTTTCACGATCTAAATAAAATAAAGATTTTTCTGCATCCGCTTTAGCACGTATTAACTCATTATTCATTTTTATATTTTCCTTTGATAACATTTGTAATTTGTCAAAAACTTCTTCATTCTCTTTAATTAATAAAATGTTTTCATCTGTTAACTTATCTATTTTAGCTTCTAAATCATTTTTTTCTTGCACTACTTTTTTTTTAGATTGTTTTAATTTTAAAATATCTTTGTAAATATTACCTTTTTCTTCTTTACTTTCATTATCTGAAATTTTATTATTTATATCGTTCATATTAATAATAGGATTTTCATTTGAATAATATATGTCATTTAACAATAATGCACTATTATCAAGTATATTATTTCTTATAATATTCCTTTCCTTTTTCAAATTATCATTTTCTTCTTGAATTTCCTCTAAAGTTTTTATTATTTTTTCATTTTCAAAAACCATTTTTTCTTTTTCATCTTTTAATCTTTCATTGTAATCTTGAAAAATAGCTATTTCCTCTTCTTTTTTTTGTAATTTTTCACTTAATTCATTTACTTTTTGTTGATAATATTTTACGTTATCATTAAAATTTTGAATCCTGAATTCTGATAATTCTAATATTACTTGGTTATCTTTATTTTTTTTTTCTGCTTGACTTAACTTTTCAGTAAGATCATCTATTATATAATTTTTTTCTTTATTTTCTAATTCTAACTTAGAACAAATATCTTTTAAATCGTAACATAATTCCTTTAACTTCAAAGATTCATTTTCTGTGTATTTATTCTTTTTATTTTTTAATAACTCTTCATTTAGTTTGTCTATTTGCTTTTCTAATTCTAAATTTCTACTTTCTAATTCTATAATTTGAATATCTTTATCTTTAATATCATTTTTAATTAATTTTATATGATCTATGTCTAATGTTATCGTATTTTTTGTTTTTAGGTTATTATTTTCAAATAAAATGTTTGCATATTTATCATTTCCATTAACTAAATTCATTAAATTTTTATTTTTTTCTTCAAGATCATTAAAAGATTCTTCTAAATTTTTGTAATCATTTTTTAAAATGCAATATTTTTCATAAGAATTTTCTATATAGGTTATATAATTATCTATATATTTTGTTAAAATTTCCTTATCTTTGTCTTGTGTACTTATATGACTTTTCAAATTATTTATTTCTGCCTTTTGGTTATAAATTATGTTTTCGTATTTTTCATTTAACAAACAGTTCTCATTTTTTTCATGCAAAAATTTATTATAAAGTATATCATATTCTGAATTTAATATCATATATTTTTTTTCTTGCTTATGAAGATCTATTTGATATGTTAAATTTATTTTACTAATACAGTCTTTTAAATATTGACAATAAATTTCATCTGTGATAAATTTTTTCAAAAAATGAGTATTCTCTTTTTCAAGAGAATAAGCAAATTTTTCTTTTTCAAGCAAACTTCTTTGGTCATATAAAATTATTTTGTATAATACATTATATAAGACATAAATTTTCATAAGATTTTTTTTACAAATAGAATCATCTAAATTATTTTCTGAATTAAAAATATTTTGCATTATAAAACTATTTTCATTATTCTTGTAATAATCCACTTCTTCTTTCAAAAAACTTATTTTCCTTTCTATTTCTCTATTTGTTTTTTTTAAATTTTCATATTTTTTATTTAGAATTATTAGTTCATTATTTTTTTTTTCTAATTCTTTTCTTATTAATTCTATTTCTTCTTTAATATTTTTTTCAGTTAATCTATCAATTGCCTCTTGTTCACTAATATTATTTTTTTCATTCAATAATTTTTCTAAATTTTTTATTTTAATATCTTTTTCTTGATTCATTTCTGTTTCTTGCTTATAAAGTTTTTCAATGACTTCTGCTTTTCTTAATTCTTCTTCTTTAAATAATATTTCATCTTTAAGGCAATTTAGCATTATTACATTTTTATCTAATTCATCTTGTAATCTTTTTATGTCTTTCATTGATTCAATCTTATAATTATTATATTCAATTTGAATCGTTTTTTTTTCATCAGAAACTTCATTTAATATAGTAGCATTTTTTAAAGCAACTAAATTTAATTTTTCTGTATCTTCATTGTATTTTTTTTTTAATTCATTATTTTCCATTAAAACATTTTTCAATTCTGTCTTTAGTTTTAAAACTTCATTTACAATTTCATCTTTCATATTTTTTTCATCTGTATTACATTCTTCATGATTACTTAAGTTATTTATATTGTGATTTGTATTATTTTCTATCAATTTTTTATAAATATTATTGATACTCTTATTATCTAAATTATTCAGTGAATAACTTTTCATATTTTTTTTCTTTATTTTTTTTTTTTTTTTAATTTTTCTTTAATACCTTAACCTTTAAAAATTATTTATATATATATATATATATATTTATATATTTATATATATACATATATATACAAAAAAAAAAAAAAAAAAAAAAAAAAAAAT